TAATAATTAACATTTTATTTTCGGGGACTTGCTTTTCTTTCATATTTAGATCAAAATGGTAAATGAATGGTCAAATATTATTTTCACAATACTTATAAAGCATTTCAGAATAATGTACAACTTACGTTCAACTCTGACTAGTATCTATAAAGGATGTATGCTTAGTATAACTAATCTATAGTGTCATGTTCACATGGCAAGAAGTTAAATAAAATAAATCCAATTAGCAACTATAGTTGATGCATAGTGTTTTTTATATTCTTATAACATTGACTACTCAACTCGATTCTTCATTTGATTAGGTCGAGTTACGTAATGGTATACATGTATATTAACTATTCCTTGACCAACTTGATTCTTCATTTGATCAAATTGAGTTAGCATAAATTGAAGGCATGTATATGAGAGATCTTGTCATCACCAAATCAAGGTGTTCGAGAAAAGAAATTTAAAAGACAACTTTTAAAACTCGCTTGGGACATTATAAATTTGTTGTAGTTGTCTTTCCACATTAGTAATATAACAGAATATAATGCAACATCACTTGTGATTGGTAAATTTAGCCCATGTTTGGTAGAGATTAAAATTAAATTTTTAATAGATTTTGATAAAAGTTGATAAAATGTGTGGTTGAAAAGTTGTGAATCTCATGATATGTGTGGTTAAAATTAATTGTTGATTTTGACTTGAAATTTTAATTGAATTTTAATCTAAACCAAACATGGGCTTATTCTTGAATATTTAGTACTAACTTTACGAAGAATCTCTTGACTGGTAAATTAAGCTCGAATCTCCCGTGATGGTAGGACTCTCTCTTGTGGTCTTGGCCTTAGCCTTGTCCTTGTCCTTGTCCTAGGTTGCTGATTAAATTGAAGACATAATTTTAGAGGCACCATATTTCTTAAGTAAAAATGAGGGAAAATTTTGTGGCCACCTAAAAATACGATGATTGAGCGAATTTTGAGACCAGATCTGCCAATATGGTAAATTGTCGTCTCCACGGCTTACAATTAATCAATCACCGTCCCACTATATTAACATATGAAAGTTTATCACAGAAAAATATACTATTTTGATTCCTCCCATGCTACGAATATAAAAATATCCTATTTAACGTCGGCCCTAAAATTTTGGGTGCCTTATGCGACGTTTTAAAATGAGTCATCTTTCATGTAATTAAAAACTATATATCAACAAAAAAAATTCCAATAATATTATTTCATTACAAAAATATGATATTTGAATTGCGAATAAGAAAAATACACGTAAAGTTTAAAAGCCCCTCCCGAACTTAATCAAATTCATATGTCATCAACAAAAAATATCCAAGCCACTAAGCTCTTTGTGCAACTTCATATGAGTAAATCTTGATTTTGAAATCAAATACATCCAATGCCACGTGTAAACATTGAAATGCAACAAGTCATATAAAAAATATTTCTTCTCGCATTTTTAGAAGCAAACTCACTAATTAAACATTCATACTCAATATGTTTTTAACAAATCTTGTTTAATAGGTATCAAAGCCAACAAGATGTACATATCAAACTTCAAAAGAATACAATTTTCCATATCCAAGATTTTTTGGAATCAAGAAAATAATATTTAAGGCAAGATACTTTTTCCTCTTTTCACTTACATTATTTAAAGGTGTGATACTATTTAAAACAATTATCTTAAAAAAATTATAATTAATCAGTCACATTATTCTTGGCTTTAGTAGCTTGTACAATTGCATATCATGCCAAATCAAATGCCTACTTAAGAGACTATTTGAGTCCCATTTTTTATAAAAATACATTTTGGAATGGTATTTTAATCGAGAACGCGTGGTTAAAAAATAAGAAAAAATTTTGATTTTGCATATAATTTCGTATTAAAAATATGTGGTTGAAAATAATAGAGAAAAATATGTATTTTAGAAATAATGGGAACCAAACAAGGGCTAATAAAAAAATAATTCATAAAAAAAATAATTAAGTACCACATATTGAAATTAGTTGCGAAGGAGCATAATGAATCATTTCCTTTGCTCTAATAAAATGTCTTGGTAGATTAAGTTAAATAGGAGTTAATTATTTTTTTACTTTTGTTTTTCATAAATATTGTGCCATTCAACTAACATCATAATAAAAATTTTAAATTTTAAAATTATTACACCATCCCCCCACCCTAAAAGCTGCCACTCATCTAGGGTGTCAACGAGTCGAGCCAAGCAAAAGCTCGGCCAACAAATTTAGGCTCGACCCGAGCTTTCGGCTTGGGCCTTAGCGAGTCGGCTCGATTTTTTTCTAATTCGTGACAAATCTAAATTTTTTTAAAGAATTTAAAATTTGTACAATTTATACATATTATAAATAATAACTAAATATTAACGAATAAAAAAAATTACAGCTAAAATTAAAAGAATTTTTTTTTTTAAAAAAAAAGTAGTAGGCAGCTATAAGCTTTTTTTTTTTTT